GTATGGAGCGCCAAGTGATAATCGAACTATTCAGTTGTAATTGATCTAGCGAAACAAGCTTGCTAACCATTACACAACGTCGAAGTGTTCAAGTGAAAAGACAATAATGTGTGTGTAACAAACGAATGTGGAAAGTTTGTGTTTCAAAGTATGCGTGAGTGAATGTTCGTACGTACATGTGTGCGTGCGTGTGTAATGTTCATGCGATCCCCGGGAAGAGGGAACGCTTTCTTTCTGCGAGAGCTTTACATTGTTGTAGTGCCCGCTAAAAATGAGAAGAGAAAGAGAATATTTATTCCTGAATAAAACAGAAAATGTGGCACAAGGCCGAAATGAAGAAGAGGAAAGATTCTGTCTTAACTTTAAACTTAGCTAGCCACAAACGCTGACCCAATCATACTAACAATATTCCTCACACCAAAACACATTCTTACCTTTTTTTTACCACATCCACTATAATACCTCAATGTTTCCATGAAAATACTAACTAGTCCCCATATGTACAATGTATCGTCTGTAGGGGGGGGGGGAATAAAACAACAATTTAAAAATTTTAAAAACTAGCTCCAATGAGTATTTACAATATGAGATAAAAAAACAAAACTATTTACAAGAAACTAAACAAAATCATGTTAGTAACCCCCTCCCATGAGAAGAGCAAAATGTGGCACATGGCCAAAGTGGGGAATGGGGAAGTGGTCAGTCTTTTGTCTTAACTTCTAAACTTAGCTAGCCAGAAACGCTGACTCAATCATACTAACAATATTTCTTGCACCAAAACAACACATTCTTACTTACCTTTCTCACGACACCCACCATAATACCTCAATGACTCCATGAAAATACTAACTAGACCCCATATGTACATTTTGTGTCCTTTGCGGGGAGGGGATTAAAACAACAATTAAAAAAAAAAATTTTAAAAAGTAACCCCAATGAGTATTTACAGTATGAAACAAATAACTATTTACAAGAAACTAAACAAAATCGTGTTAGTAATAAAAAAACCCACAATCACTAAATAGGGCAGAAACATCAGTTAACTATACGAAATTAATGCGGGACTATAAAAAATTAAAAACATTCATTCATCCCAAGCACTCACACAGACATGCACTCATTCAGACACAACAGCAGATACGAAAAATCACTCCCGAAACGAAAAACGCCCCGCATCCACCAGAGAACTGACGTCACTGACCACCTAACGAGGGAGGGGATGGGGAATTAAACTTGAAGAAAGATAGGGACAGAAATAAAAGGGGGCCAATGAGCATACATATCCTAGCTAAGTTTACTGAAAACGAAACGAAAGACTCAAAAAACTAAACCTAAGCTAACCTAAATTTTGGGGTGGGTTGACATGAGAAGAGAAAGGTAGAACGAAACAGATACTCTCCGAGTATATATAGTATTCAAGGGCGCCCCCAAGTAGTGGTTTTAAAATTTAGGAGGAAGTAACTCCGACAACAGGAACTGAGAAGAGGAAATACACTGACTGAGAGAGTAGTTCCAACTACAGGTGCCACTGGTTTTAATCTAGCAGAAGCAGCTTCTAGTGTTTGGGAAGAATTTGATAATATAGACATCCATAAGGCTACTCTTCTGGACAGTACAAATACTGAATGTAAGGCAGGCCTTGTAATTGCTCTGGAGAAGAAGCTCCACCGATAATTACATACAATTGGCTGTTCATTACGTCAGAATGAGGTGCCATTTAGAGCAGGTTTTAAATAGATGGTACAAGAAGAAGCCCGTCGACTTTTAAAGGCCCACTAGGCAAATTGTGTGAAAGGAACTATCATGTTTTGCAATAAGTAGAATTTATGAAAGTCAATGGCCTTCTTGATAATATAGCATCTATAGTGAAAATGACGTTCTAAGTGAAGACCAAAGGCTCTTTTTAGAATATACAGTGTAACCCGGATATAAGAGAAACCCGGATATAAGAGAGATTTTCTCTGGTCCCAAATTAGAGCCTGTGTTAATGTATATAAAATAGACCAAACCCGGATATAAGAGAAACCCGGATATAAGAGACTTCTTCTCCGGTCCCGACAACTCTCTTATATCCGGGTTACACTATACTTTCTTAGTAATTTCCAAAGGTAAAATTGACTTTACATTTGTGACTGGAAAATTGGACCAGTAAGTGATTCAAAATGGTTAAATTTTAGCAACCAGGTTAATGTGTATGAAGAGCAGAGTTATATCCCCTTCAGAGCTCCATGACAAGCTTCACTAATTTCATTATTGAATTTTATGCATTTAGCTAGTTTTAAGGGGAATAGAAAACTTCATAACCAGCTGATAATCAAAAAGATTAAGAAACAATCTGAAGTAATTTAAAATATTGCATCCAAGAATATCCAATATAATGCTTTTGCTCTGTTACCTGAGAATGTCTTGTATTCGATAAAAAAAAGTCAGATGAATTGGAAGAGAGAGAAGTAGCTCTTAGAAAAATTATGTCCATTGGGTAAGTAAAGAGACTAACTTATCTGGATGTAAAGGATAGTTTTAAAGTTCTATTCACTAAAAATAGAATAGGTATAGATTGTTTTATTAAAACAGTAGTCGGAAGTCACCCAAGAAAAGGTTGAATAAAATACCAACCATTAACGTTAAAGCTTTGCATTGGTTAGAATTAATCAATTAATCAATCTCAAAATGGAATTTGAGGTAACTCGATTTTTCCTTCTACTTTCCTTCAATATGTCCTATGAGTGTCAAATTTTCCAAGCCCTCTTTCCTCATTATATGTCCTAGAAACTTCAACCGTCTATTTCTGTTTCTAGCTACAATCTTCACTTATGCCTTCGTATAATTTAACCAAAACACCTACTGTACCGAATTTCCATGTGCAATTCACGACTTAAATGCAACGAAAATATTTTATTTTGTGAACGAATTACAACTGTCGATGAACAGTGAATACTTTACAACAATGTGGAACGCAAGAAATTCGTCACCTTCCGAAAAATACTTTACTGTTTCTGCACTATCAAAGAAATATTATATTTTCGAATTAGTTTTTTTTTTAATAAAATATTTATAGAAATATTTTATTCAAAATAATTCGATTCTCTGAAAGAGTTCAAAAGAGACTTACATCAATTCCTTGCTTGAAAATAATGAAAAGCTCTTGGGGAATGAAATTGTGAAGTTATCGGATAGATGACAGCAAAGAATAGAACAAAATGGCGGATGTTAGTCAATAATGTTAATGTCGAAAATTAGAAAAAATCATTTTTAGCATAAGATGCCGAAAAAGCATTTTCGATTAACTAATATATTTACAAAGAGTTTTCAGGATGTGAAATTTCAACATCCAGACTTTTTATGCTCTAAATAACATTTGCCCTTTTATCATACTTCTTTAACCTACAAAAAAAAAATCGGGCCATGTTCTGAACTAGCCACGTCAGGTTGAAACTTACATAAAGATGTCATGCATTACTTCAATATTTTCATGGCTATTATTATTATTATTATTATTATTATTATTATTATTATTATAATATTTCCTTTGAATTCTGATGTGTACTCATTTCTTTCCGGGTCTCGCCCAGGGACCTAAGGTTAGAAATGGCATCATGACATTTTTTACTGAAAAGAAAAATTACATAGACAAAAACCTTCGTAAGGTGTGGGCTGTACTCATGAGAACAATTATTATTATTATTATTATTATTATTATTATTATTATTATTATTATTATTATTATCATTCGTAGTAGTAGTAGTATTATATTTTTATTATAATAGATGATAATAAAACATTTTAAATCGCTACAGAAAAGCTTCCTGAGGAAGTACAATGATAATATTGAAACATGAAAGCTTTTGTGCAGAAATTTAAAATGTCTTATAATAAAAATATAATAATAATATTTTACGCTACTTTGTAATGAGCACTTTTTAAGAAGTAAATGCTACGAACTGTGAACTTTTATTCCATTTGTTCTTTCCCCATTTGTGTGTGTGTGTGTATATATATATATATATATATATATATATATATATATATATATACTCAATGAATTCTCTTGTCTTGTATAATCATTACCCCGAGGGTGTTGAGGAAGAGACAGATTTCTAATTTATGCGGAAGTGAATGCAATAAACGCCATCCGAAATCGAACTCAGTTCGCAGATTTCTTTTTTCAAGTCTCTAACAATGCCTGCACCTGTGAGAAAACTTCACTGCTAGCCAACTCGTATGACATTATGGTATTTTTCTTCTTTCACGTGCCGTGTGACTTCAGGACATGGGCGATAATGGCTCTCCACTACTTCTTATCCATTGTTACTCTTAGTAACGTTCATACTTCTCACCCACATTTATTTGCACAAGCTCGTCAGGTAAGTATCCCACTGTCTTCCTCTGTGTCTTTTCCTTCGAAGACGCCCTTTGAGTTTCAAATTCTTCAAGCCTTGCTTTCTTATTTTATGTCTAATTAATATCAGTTATCTCTTTCTGATAATTAAATCTAAGTGTCCTTTCTGTTTCCATTTTCTTTAACACTTTCTCGTTTCTTACGTGATCCTTCCATGGAATTCTAAGTAATTCTTCTGTAGAACCATATCTCTGTTGTCTTCGGTCTTCTCTTCATATGTGGGGATATTGTCCGCTATTCATTAAACTGAAGAAATATTGGCATGGTAAGTCCAGTGAGGATCGAACTCACGATTCAACTAGAATAGCCTTGTTAATTATTACTACCTGCCGAGGCTTCCACTTATTTAAAGCTTAACGCGTATGTATGTTTATTTTAAGAAGGGCGCACTATTAACAATGATTATTGTGTATCAGATCACAACTGTTTGCTGATTAACTAAATATCACATTAGCATCTCCAACACAGATTTATGGCATCGAAAAATTCTTGTTGTTTTCCTTTCACTCACGTCGACACTTCCCGCCTTTAAAAAAAAAAAAAAAAAAGACGCCATCATTAATACATGAATCGTTTGGCCAACCATAGTCTGCCATGCATAATGGATGAACAGACGCTCGTGTCTCCCAGAATTCCCTATCGTACCAGCGGTCATATTTTATTCACAATGCAAATGGAAGGTCAGTGCCAAACAGAAGTACGGGAAAGGTTGTGCAGCCATCTTTAATTACGCATTCAGATTAACTTAATGCTGAGAAAAAAGCTGATAAAATAAGCACAAAGAGGGATTTTTTTTGTAGTTGTTGAATTATTGTCGTTTGAACTCGAATAATGATACAGGTGTTACGAACATCGACCATTATTTGTCCGAGTTAATAGAAATGAATTCTTTATTTTTTTGGCATATAAAAGCACAAAGTTTAATAAAACAATGAACTGCAATGAAAGTAAAACAAAAGAAGTAAAAATACTCGTCGTCGGTTGAACATCGAAATCAGCGGTTGATTAGGGAACTAATCGGTAAACATAATTTATTCCGAATATTTTATTTACAAAAATAAAGAAAGTAACAAAAATACTAAACAAAGTGTTGAAAGGACATGGAACGGGCAAAGAAAATACACAGGGTCGGCTGTACAGCGACAACGAGGGATAATAAAAGATTATTGGGTGGGCCAAAAAGATCCTTTGCTTATTAAGTCGAACATTTACTTAAAAGACAAAAGGGAACTTTTTGGTTAGCCAATACTTAAAACGACATAATAGTGGCGCAACCAGTTAGGAACGAACTCACTACACTCGCAAATATATTTTATTTTCGGTAGGCGTCTCTTCTAGTATTAACTTGTTCGAAGGATTGAAACAATGCTTTTTGTAGTCGGTGTTCAAACACAGGGAAATAAGAATATGTTGATTTTCGAAACGAGTTGCGCTATCACATTTGGAAGATTGGCAGGATATCCTTCCTTTCAGAATCAATAGATTTACGTGCTGATAACATCTGCGGTACTAAGGCTGCGTATCGATCTCGAATTCACCTATTTCTACTTCCTTTTTTAATTTCTAATTTTTTTCTTTCATCTGTCTTTCTTTCTCTTTTCTTCACAATTCTGTTTTCTTCTCTTTCCTTTACGATCCCGTCTTTTTCTTTTCTTCACGATTCACTCTTTCTCTTTCGCTTTTCTTCACGATTCTGTGTTTCTCTTTTCTTCACGATTCACTCTTTCTCTTTCGCTTTTCTTCACGATTCACTCTTTCTATTTTCTTCACGATTCACTCTTTCTATTTTCTTCACGATTCACTCTTTCTCTTTCGCTTTTCTTCACGATTCACTCTTTCTATTTTCTTCACGATTCACTCTTTCTATTTTCTTCACGATTCACTCTTTCTCTTTCGCTTTTCTTCACGATTCACTCTTTCTCTTTTCTTCACGAATCCATCAATCTTTCTATTTTCTACACGATTCTGTCTTTCTATTTTCTCCACAATTCTGTTTTCTTCTCTTTCCTTTACGGTCCCGTCTTTTTCTTTTCTTCACGATTCTGTGTTTCTCTCTCTTTTCTTCACGATTCACTCTTTCTCATTCGCTTTTCTTCACGATTCTGACTTTCCCTCCATTTTCTTCACGATTCTGACTTTCCCTCCATTTTCTTCACGATTCTGACTTTCCCTCCATTTTCTTTACGATTCTGTCTTTCTATTTTCTTCATGATTCTGGCTTTCTCTTTTCTTTATAATTATGTCTTTCTTCTTTACGATTCTTTCTTCCTCTTTTCCTCACGATTCTGTCTTAGCCTCTCTTTACTTCGCGATTCTGTATTTTCCTTTTCTTCATGTTTCTGTTTCTCTCTCTATTCTTCACAATTCTGTCTTTCTTTAATTTTCTTCACGATTCTGTCTTTCGTTCACTTTTCTCTCCGATTCTGGCTTTCTTTCTCTTTTCTTCACAATTCTTCCTTCACAAATCTTTGTTTCTGTTCATGATTCTAATTTTCTCTCTCTTTTTTTTCACGATTCTGTTTTTCCCTCTCTTTTCTTCACGTTTCTGTTTTTCCCTCTCTTTTCTTCACGTTTCTATTTTTCCCTCTCTTTTCTTTACGATTCTGTTTTTCCCTCTCTTTTCTTCACGATTCTGTTTTTCCTTCTCTTTTCTTCACGATTCTGTTTTTCCTTCTCTTTTCTTCACGATTCTAATTTTCTCTCTCTTTTCTTCACAATTCTAATTTTCTCTCTCTTTTCTTTACGATTCTGGCTTTCACTTTTGTTCACGATTCCATTTTTATTTCTACTTTCATCACAATTATATCTTTTTCTTTTCTTTACGATGCTTTCTTTCTCTTCATTTTCTTTCCGATTCTCTCTTTTCTTCACGATTTTGACTTTTTCTTCACGATTCTGTTTTTCTCTCTATTCTTCACGATTCTGTCTTTCTTTCCTTTTTCTCTACGATTCTAGCTGTCTCTCTTTTTCTTAATTGTGTTTTCCTTTCTCTTTTATTGACGATTATGTCTTTCCTTCATTTCTCTTCACAATTCTGTCTTTCTTTTACCTTCCTTCACGATTCTGTCTTTTTTCTTCAGGATCCTGTGTTTTTTCTCTTATTTCTTCACGGGTATGTCTTTCCCTCTCTTTTCTTCACAATTCTCTCTTTTTTTTACTTCCTTCACGATTCTGTCGTTCTTTTTGTTTACGATTCTGTGTTCCTCTCTCTTTTCTTCACGATTCTGTTTTTTTCCTCTCTTTTCTTTACGATTCTAATTTTCTCTCTCTTTTCTTTACGATTCTAATTTTCTCTCTCTTTTCTTTACGATTCTAATTTTCTCTCTTTTCTTCACGATTCTGTTTTTCTCTCTCTTTTCTTAACGATTCTATTTTCTCTTTTCTTTTTGATTCTCTTTCCCTTTCTTTTCTTCACGATTCTCTCTTTTTCTTTTCGCTACGGTCCTATTTCTCTCTCTATTCTTCACGATTCTGTCTTTCTTTCTCTTTTGTCTACGATTCTGGATTTCTCTCTTTTTTTCTTCATGATTCTGTTTTCCTTTCTCTTTTCTCCACGATTATTTTCTTCTCAATTCTGTCTTTCTTTTACTTTTCTTCACAATTTAGTTTCCCCTCTCTCTTCTTCACGATTCTGTCTTCCTCTCCATTTTCTTTCCGATTCTCTCTTTTCCTCACGATTCTGGCTTTCTCTTTTGTTCAAGATTCTATCTTTCTTTCTCTTTTCATCACGATTCTGTCTTTTTCTTTTCTAAACGATTCTGTCCTTCTCTTTTCTTCATGAAAAGTAATGAGTTAGGTCCACACCAGGCGCCCCATAAATGCGTCCGTGTGCTTATTTATTGACGGCAGAGCGCTTCGGCATGAGTTAATTGTTAACGTGCTAGTTCGGTTGACAGTTACTATTGAGTAGTGAGTTCGATCCTCCATGGAGACCACATACTTTTAATCGTGTGGTAAACTAAAATAAGCTTATTAAATGATAACATTGTGCCTCGGCATAGAGTGATGGTTAACGACGTAGTCTGGCTGATCCTTACTGCAGAGAAGTGAATTAGATCCTCACTGGGTTCCCCATACTGGTGGTCTTGTACTAAACTGACCTAAGCTTTATAAATGTCAACAGGGTGCATTGGCGTAGGTTAATGGTTAAGGAGATAAACTGTTTAACGTTTACTACTGAATAGTGAGATCCTTGCTGGGAAGTGCACAATATTCGTGGCCTTTTGCCAAACTAACGCAATGTTAATAAATGACAAATGGTTTCTCTTTATTTGTCTTCTTGGTACACCCCGATCCCCACCTTTGCTCACGTACCAAAATTCCCACAGATGCACGTGTTGTTTGATCTTTAAGTGCACGCCCACACACAAAACCCTCCCTCTATTTACATATTTAGTTAAAATAAAGTCACAAAAGAAGCAAGCAGAATCGGTTCGCATGTCATCACTACTGAATGCATTAAAGAAACACAAAATAGTACATTGGGAACATATTTAAGCCTTTTCTCTGCCTTTTCTCATGTAAAATCATTTTTATAGCAACTACTTTTTCTCAAGCTGGCTTTGGTCGCTGAACTCAATATAGGAAGTCACCCACGGAACAGGATCCCCCTACGACCGCCACTAGCTTCGACGGTCGTTACGCTATCTCCTACGCTCGTTATATAGTCCATGGTATGACGATAAACTACATCTGGCAGCAATATCTTTGAACGGGAGATTGGAGTTTTTGAGGTGCGTGGAACAACTTCTTAATTGTTGTTGTTCCTAGGTTCACCCTGATCCGGGGTGGTAGCACCCAGCTATGCGCAAATAGTGACCCACCCCCAAACAAAAGCAAATCCCTATGAAAGTATAAAAATATATTTTTATATAAAAAATTACCAGCAATACATCAATCAACATGAAAGAAATCTTTCATGATATTAATCCATATAATATCAAACTATTTCTTAAAGAAATAAAATTTTATTCCAAAATATAACTTCAACAAAACAACAACATAAAACACACGTATCTCCGCCCCTAGTAATTATGTCCACACAAACATGTATATGCGGAAACGCTGACTATTATCTACCATGTATTCAATTTTGAAAGCAAAATAACATATATCATATTTTCTTTATTACTCAAAGCTTTCTAGAAAATTAAATTTCGGCATTAAATGACCCATAAGGTGCGGATGTGCCACTAAACAAACAAATCAAAATCTTTTCTTTTCCAATTTTACTGTTTTAAATTTAGATCACAACATATGTTGAGAATAACTTTGCAATTGGCTGGATTTGATTGATTCACTTTTTACTGCTTATCAACTCTTGTCAGGTTATTTAAAGCCATACATTTTTAGAGTGTAAAATTTTTTGAGATAATAATGCTTTAGTGATAAAAGTCTTAATAATTAACTGATATCTGAGGTAGAAGGTTTGCTTTCATACTTTTCCCAAGGCTAAATGCGCGTAAGGGAATATGACGAACCCAACAGCAAGAGGAATTCGGCTCTTTGATTAATAATTCCAAGCCATTATTAATTATACTATCCGCACATCCAAGCTTACATCACATAATATTACCAAACAGGCACCCATCTAATTACTGACAAGGCTCAACGTTGCTTAACTTCGATGATAGTACGGCAACTAGGGTTTTAATGTGATATGGCCGCAAGCTTTTGCAGTTGATTGCTTTGGGATGTGAATGGTGCGTACATTCCTACCTACAGGTTACTATGCCTGTACCGAGTGTAACAGCAAAATTGTCCATCCCACAAAATATCTAATATCTAAAAATACACTATACTAATTGATTTTCTTTTTTCTGCGTTTTTAGATACGACCTTTAGCCATCTTTAATACCAATTGTAAGAATCACTGAAAAATACTTTAACTTCAGCTAGAAAGAGAACAGGTTAAAATGGTTTTGTGTCAGACCCACTGTCTTCCCAAATGAGCAATGGTGAAGAAGAAGAAAAAGAAGAATATTCTCACCTTCAGTAATTGTAGCATAATCTGGATTCCGTCTTCAAAGTTCATTCAAGAACCATCAAGAGAACGGCGAATAAGTTTAAAAAAGAGGGAACAGTAGTTAGGAAAACTGGATCAGTAGGTTAGTACAACAGGAAAATGGATCATCATTTCAACTTAGAGCTAAAGAGATCAATTAGAAAAGATCCAACTCAATCCATAAGACGATTGGCATGTGAGAGAGGAGTATGACAGTCTAAAGATCAGTGAAAAAGACTTGAAAATGAAATCGTACGTGAAACCTGTGTGGTAACTTTGTTGGTCCAGGATAAAGTTAGAAAGTTAGAGAGGGCGAAGATCATCTTGAATAAGCTGAAAAAAAGATTCTGCAATAAAAGAAAAAGAAAATGCAAAGTAAAAGAAAGAAAGAAAGAAAAGTAGAAAGAAAGTACAAAGTGAAAGGAGGACAAAATGAAGGAGAAAAAAGAAAATGCCAAACGAAAGAAAGAAAAGAAAGAAAGACCACAAAACAGGAAGTAAGAAAGAAAGAAAAGCAGAAAGGAGAGAAAGAAAATGTCAAATGAAGAAAGAAAGAAAGAAAGAAAGAAAGAAAGAAAGAAAGAAAGAAAGAAAGAAACGCAAAAAGAAAGTTCAAAATTAAGGGAGGACAAAATGAAGAAGAAAAAGAAAAATATCAAACGAAAGAAAGAATGACCACTAGAAATTGAGAAAGAAAGAAAATACAAAGCAACTGGAGAATCAAGAGAAATAGAATGCACAAAATAAATAGAAAGAAGAAAATATCAATGGAAAGGAGAGAGAGAGAGAGAGAGAGATGACGGGGAAAGAGACAGATAGTGATAGAGATAAAGAAATATTAAAGTAAACGTAGAGAAAGACAGGATGAAGAAAGAAAGAAAATAACGAAGGCAGGATTAGAAGTAAGTAAAGAATATTCGTATTGATATATTTTCCGTTTTCGTTACAAAATTAGATAATCTACTTTTCTTAAAAAGAGTTTATCTAACAACACAGTTAAAAACCTATGCTTGTGTGTAAAAAACATTCTGCCGATGTGTAGAACAGGAGAATAAAATTATTCAGGTGAATTTAATGTTGCACGTTCATAAGTCCATCTATAAAAGCTGTCCACACCTGGCTAAGAGGAAT